GTGTGTGTGTGTGTGTGTGTGTGTGTGTGTGTGTGTGTGTGTGTGTGTGTAGTCTCCATAGTGGAAGAGCTACTTCATCATAAAGCTGTAGCTCTCTGCTGATGGTTTGCCGATGTGGATGATCTTATTCTGATTCACCGTGTTTGTTGTTTATTATTAGAAGACGGTTAAAAAAAAGAAGATGCACTGTCTGCACCGAAACATAACTCCAACATATAAAAAAAAAAGTGTTAGACTTTAAATTTCGGGGTATCAAGAAGCAGACAGTGTTTTGCTTCACTGAGAAGGAAGATAAGAGAATATTAAACTGTGGTACCGAAAGGCTGTTCAGTTGGTTATTAAGTGCTACAAATGATTGAAAAGTTCCAGACACTCATTGTTCACTCGGAGCTTTTCAAAATGATTGATAGGCACACACAGCCAATTAGCATTCGGGTCAAATTTTGCTGCAGATTGGAGCCTTTATCTGGATTATGTCTGCGGTGTAGCGCAGGTTAATGGGAGCTGACCTCTGTCAGGCTTTGGTTCATTAATAAAGTTTTGTTCAGCGGGAAATAAAAAGGAGTAACTACAGGCGTAGCGTGCTAACAGGTGAAATGGAAAACAAAAATCCTGCACGGACCAGTAAATCATGCAGAATGTATAATAATAAAACCATCATGGGTAAAATATTGTGCTGGTGCTGCAGCAACGTATGAAGACATTGCTGGTTGCACAACACAGCGACACCAGATATAATTGGTCTTTTGTATTCGTGAGTGTGCAGCTGTGATTTAATAACATCTGGTAACACTTTTAAAGAAATCATTCTCCAGAACTGAACAGGTGTGGCCTCGGTGTCGGGTTATAAACCTGCACCCAGCGTGAGGCAGAAGCTGCTGTGGGGGGTTAATCAGGGAACAAAATGACCACCTGTTTCCACAAAGCCTATGAGGGAACTCTAGCTCAGCTGACTGACGCAGATATGTGGGAACTTTTCTTTTTTTCTGCTTGTGAATGCATGATTGCTCTCTTGGAGAGTCATGACGTTAGCAGAGGAACACAGTCGCGCTGATGATTATTCTTGGTAACGGCAGCAGAGTTTCTGCCCGTTGGCAGTGAAAAGACAATAAATGTCTGCTGTGGTAATCTGAATAAACCATCCTCAGGAACAAGCCCCTTCCACTGGAAACAATGAATGAATCTAATGATAAACAGACGCAGGTATTGCATGCACAGTCATACACAAGACAGCACAAACATACACTTCCTGGTTGTGGTCTCTGCCACGGTTTTGCTGACTGTGCTCCTGGCATCAGGGTTCTGGTCTGAAGCCACATTCAAGCTGTGCGCTCTGTCTGGTTCTTACACACTCCGAATGAGCTTTATGAAAGGCCGGAACTCAAAGACTGAGTCGACACCGAGGCCACGCTCAAATAAGAAACATTGTTTTTGCCCAGTGCAACCAGGAGGTATTTTTAACTCAAAGAGATAGTTCAAATGTTTTGAAATGGGGTTTTGTGGAGGTTATGAAGTATTATCTGACTGGATTGACAAGCTAACAGGTGGTTCAAGCAGGTAATTGTTGTTGTCAATTTCACAGCAGTTTAAGCAAGCACTGTTTTTCATCCGTTACTCTTCTATAAGTTGTGTATTACACAGTTATTCTTTCAGAAATATAACAATATTTCTGAAGGAAGTGCCACAAGCTGCACCTTAAAAGGGACATATCATGCAAATCTTAATCTTTTTTTAGCCCTTAAATGTATTTTAAACTTGATATCTCTAGGAGTGCAGACAGATATATTTAGTCTCCTCCCATTGTTTCATAGATATCCTTATATTCTGTTTTGGTCATACTTCTCAGCCCGTTCAGTTTTTTCTATTCCTTATTAAATATTTTGAACAATAAGGTCACCGTATTTGCTGCGAAACCGCTTAACAAGGTCATGGATTTCCGTCTGACCAATTTCATGAATCCGCGGTTCTGCAGGTTCGTCTTTATTCTCCTCTGGCTCTAGGTCAGATGGATGGACAAGTCTTCTGTTGTCGACATCTTTTAATCCATTTGTAAATAAAAAAGTTTCTGCGCCGCTAGGTAATCATAATTCTGCTATCAAGCTACAAAAATGGCTGAAGAGGGTGGTGGGGGGTCGGGGTCTGAACTGCCTCGTTTGCAGTTAAAGAGACCAAAACGAGTTGATCTCTGACGCACCTCAGGAAAGTGGTGAAAGAGGGGCTTTTGGAGCTACAATAACAAGGAATTCAGACCAAATCATTGCAGTTCCACTTTAGACCCCAACTGAATGATTTAACTACAAAAAGGAAGGATTTAAAAGCATGATATGTCCACTTTAATGCTATAGCTGCGGCTATTTGTGCTTGCAAATAACCACAGGAATAAAAGTTATAGACTGTATGATTCAAACGTGATGATGTTCATAGTTTTCACATGAATTTCAGTAAATACTTTGAGATTAGATTTGTTGTAAAATGGAAATAATTCATTCTGAACTATTGCCATTGTTGGGGTAACTGATAGCCCCTTTTGAATTAGCTGTTATCTTTTCAATTTAGTCCAAATAAAACTACAAAAGTTAATGTAATAATGGTTCATATATTTTTCACAGAACCCCGTCTCTAAAAATGTGAAGTATCAGTATTCATATAACAAGTTGTTCTTCTGGTCATCTCTGGATGAGCCATCAGGCATTAAACAGTACAGTGCAGTGTGTTTTTGTACTCATATGGTGCATGGTTGTAAGTGTGTGGGCTTTTTGTTTGTTTGTTTGTTTGTTCTCATTTCTCCAACCAAGTTAATGGGACGGCTGTAATGAAACCAGCTCTCGATATTGTGTGGAGCCGATGACTCTGACCGCCTCGTGGACTCTGAAAACTGTTCCCTAACAGAATGTAAACATCTCGCTACATTCATGACTATTGGAAAAAAGGCTTTGGCTGCTGTACATACACAAAAAAAAAGGGTTACAAACAAAAAAGGCAGTGCACTTCTTCCGAGTCTTCACCACTGCTCAACCAGCAGGTCCAGCACTCGGTTCACATTCAGATCTGAATCCAGACTGAAGTCGGATTCCACGAAGGCAGCTTTAGGCGGAGTGAGAGGGTAGAGGCCCGAAGTGAGGGTCTCCAGCCAGTCGGCGGCATCAAACTGCATGGCGGATCGTCGCTTCCGTGACTTTCTCATGGAGGGAGGCGGAGAGATGCAGATTGGCGGCGGGGGGGGAGGAGCAGGAACGACCTGGCTTGGGTTTATTTTGGCAGGAGATGGCGGAAGCTCCAGAAGGAGCGAGGAGCAAAGAGGTGAGGGAAGAAAGTTGTCGTCTTGTTGCTGAAAAGACTGGAAGTGTTCAGTTTGAGAAGAAGAAGAAGAAGAAGAAGAAGAAGGGTCGGGGGCTGAGTGGGCGGGGGATTTATGATCAGAGACATTAAGAGAGCCTGGAAGAAGGATGGGTTGTAAAAAAAGAATTAGACATGGAAGAGATACAAAGTGCCATTAAAGATGTATTCCTGATGCATTGTGGGAAACTCACCATCACAAGTAATGGGCTCATTAAGAATGTCATCTATGGACTGTCGAGGGTCCATCTGTGGTCCAAGAAAAGGAAAAAATGCTTCACTTTACAGAGATGAAGAATTTCTTTCTGATCTCCGGCTCTCTGCAGACTTACCTGAGCCTTCTGGATCGCCTCCTGCAGTTCTTCCTCCAAGCTCCGAATGCCAGGTGAGGTCTGACCGGGACTCGCCGTAATCTGCAGTGGCAGCTCGAAGTCATGGCCAATCACGTCACACGGCTGGCAGCAAACCACATGATTAGAAAGCAGGGGGAAATTAGTTGACAGCCAGTGATGGGAGCACATTCCCACGAGAAAGGGAGAGGTGTTCTCGTAGCAAAAGGCCTTTCTATGAGCCTTGAAAAATAAAATATACGTAACAGTTTAAAGATGTTTACCTGAGTCAACAACACTTGTGCATTTATGTCTGGCTTCCCTTTAAAGCACATTGGATCCTGTTGCAGGAACGGATGAAGGGATCCCTCACTGGACTGGTTAGAGAGTTGAAGATGGTCAGTTTTTAAGGAACAAACAGTTTTTCTAACATTTCTGAGGCCAAAGAATCAAACCTGGTCTCACCTCGTTACCAACGTGCATGGTGGAGTGACTGGGCCTGCTCCTCTTCCTTCCCCTCATCTGCAGCTCCACGCTCAGCTCTTGCTGCTGCTGCAGCTGCTCACGCTCAGTTTTCCACGGAGTCCCACACTGCAGGGGTGAAGAGGACGACACGGGTAAACTGGGACTTGGAAGTCCTGAGGCCGTGCTGGCAGGAGCCAAGAAGACAGCGCTGGTGAGGCGGCACTGTTCCCCTGCCAAGCTGACTGACGCTGCGTTTGTGTATCCGTTCGGGACGGCGCTCAGCGTTCCAGTTGGATCTCGGCTCGGCGCGTCACAGAGAATCCCGTTAGGAACAACTCCGTCTTGGATGTACAGCTGTTGGTTCGGGCTGCTGCTGGGTGAGTCCAGTCCAGAGCCGAGGCTTGAGCCAGGGCTCTGACTGGGCGGTAGTGAGGGGCAGGGGGTGAGGGGCTCGGGGCTGGTGCCCAGTTTGCAAAGGGGAGTGGGAGTGGGGCACGAAGGGAGAAGCTGGAAGGGACGAAGACGCTGCAATAATGCGGGCTTGGTGCCCGAGACGGGGAGGCCACGCTTACGTAGCTGCTGCCGCAACTCCGACACCTGATGAAGAAGCAACGAAAAACAGAACCATTTGTTTTTCTTAATAATAATTACAGTAAAGACCCACTTGCTTTTTGCGGTGAGCAATAAAAAAAAAACTAAACTAATCAACAGGGGTGAGTGTATCGACTAAGTATCGTGAGTTTCAATTTCTAGATGTGAACTGTATCACGAGATGATCCTTTTATTTACACTATTTACACTACTGACTTCATTTTTCACAAAGTGAAAAATACTCTGCAAAAATTGTCCATCCAGCCAAGTCTTTCTATCTTATATCCAGCCAAAAAGTATTTTTCATTTTTAATTATTTTTATACTGTTATATTGTTTTATATTGTTGTAATTAGTGAATACAAAACATTTTTATTTGCCTAAAATTATTGTCCTGTTAGTATATTTTAATAACTAAAAAAAAAACTCACAAAATTTTTCAATGGACATGACATTTCAAGTAAAAAGTATCAGTATCTGTGATACTAGCCCTGTGTTTTTTTAGTGTTGGATTGATACCATAACATCTGGTATCACCCACCACTACTTCACTACTTCATTTTGCTGGTTATTTTCTTTCTTCTTACTGTTAGATCCACAAGGTTTGCAGGAAGCAGCTCAGGCTTGGATGCATGGTTTGTGTCCACGGAGCGTTGGTTTGTTGAGGCGGGAGCCGGCTGGAGACTCAGAGGCGTGGCACTACAAGTCTTTGCAAGATCATTATGATCTCCACTAAAGGAATGACACAATTATTAACTCTGGCCAGAAAACATCTGAGAACTAATAGCTTATTGATGCTGCAAAGATCAGTTGACGTTTTATCGATACGGTTTGCACACCTGGGTACGACTGTAAGCTGCTGCTGCTGCTGCTGCTGCTGCTGGCTCTGCAGGATCTGGAGCTGGAGGAAGACCTGCTGCTGTGTCAGGAGATGGGAATAGGCCGGGTCTAAAGACTGGGTCGGGGTGGTAGGGCTCTGCTGTTTGGCTCCTCCCACTAGAAATAGGTTAAGTTTCTGGTTACACATCTCAGTTAGTTCAAGAAAAAATGTAGACAACAAGTCCTCGAGTAGTACCTCCAGTCCCGGACGCTCCCCTCTGGTCCGGAGGAATGTACTGGTGATACTTGAGTTTCCTCATTTTGGGTTTGATATCCCGTGGTTTCCGCGGGCGGGGCAGGTGGTTAAAGTTTAGGGGAGGGGGCAGAGAGGAGCAGGTGGGGCTGGAAGGCCGGGCTGTCTGTTAAACACACAGATCTCTTCCTTCAAACCACTAACCATCACCACAGTCCTTCTGATTAATTTAGGCGATGATCACATGCAGGACATCAATGTAAATGTCAACTCAATTTACAGTGGTTGACGTGTTTGCCCCGTGCTAAGGTTAAATTCCTTTAAAAATTAATAAAAATATGTGTAAATGCCTCACAAATCTCCAGATGACTGTGTGCACTGGTGCTGACATATACCCGAGAATGTGTTAACCTACATGGCAAACACTGAGCTCCCCCACAACTACAAACTGACAGTAATGAATTCAGAGCAGCTTACAGCAGAGCCTTGTTTTTTTATGCTTCTGCTTCTTTTTTTTTTTCTTTTTTTTAAAACACAGGTGTGACTGTCCGGTTAGGTTAAAGACCTCCTCAGGGCTTTGCATTTGTACAGCAGCTGTGAACATCATTACAGCAAGGTGCACACATGCACAGAAACAATTTAAATATTGATGTTATGGATGAAATTCAGACCAGCAAGTACATTTTATATTTGTTTTAAACTACAACAAAAGAAAAGAAAAATGTACAGCGAAGCAAGAATTATTTGTGAAAGGTTGTGTTAACCCTCCTTTACCTTTGGTAGTAAGGGTGTTGTCTGAGAGGTCGGATACATCCCGTTTTGTCTTCCAGTCGATGCCATGGAGTTGGATTCGCCCAGCGTTACGCTCAGAGGTTGTCTGATGCCCACGGTTGCCGGGAGCAATGTCAAACTAGACTGAAAATAAAATCTAAGAGAATCAGATCCAACGCAAAAATCTAATTTACTAATGTTAGTGTTATTGTTCAGGTGTTGGCAGAAATGAGCCGCTGGATGAATTTTAATGAAACTTTGAGAAACTTATCAGTTTCAAGATGCCCTACCTGGCCCAGTTGTAGTTTGGTTTATGTGGTGCTGGCCCATGCATGAACCACCCCTGGCAAAACACATCTGGGCCACAAAAGACTATCATTCTTTGCTGTATCTGCATTGAGTGTTAGAGCACTGTGTTTGGCCAGAGCTGGGCCGGACAAATTTTATGTGGATACTGACTGTGACTCCTTGTAAAATTTTATGAGGTTGCACATAGCATTATTTTTCGAGGTTTGACCGAAAACAGCTACAACATAAGATGATCACTTAAAACTCTGACATGAAAGGCAACCGGTGTGACCAGTTCCCTGGAGGGATGGTAGACCTTTAACGCTATTTAGTTGGACTGTTTCGATTGAAAATAACATTTCAGCTGTTTCCTTTTTTTAATCACCTGTGCATGACTGGGACTCTGATTCAGGGTCAGGCCCACAGCTGAACAGTCACTTAATGATTGGTCAGCTGGAAGCACTGGCAATGAGGAAACGGGCACCGACTGGTGAGTGGAGCGATGGTCAGAGACTGAGGAGGACGACATGTCCTCTTCGAAGACATCTGCAGAGAATGAAACAGGACCTGTGGACATGAAGGGTGAGAGGAGGAGACAAAGTCCAAACATAAGCAAAGAATTCTGTTTTTGATTTTAGTTTTTTTAAAGTAAATCTGTCAAAAAAAAGTACTGTGCAAAAGTCTCCCCACATATTGTTGCAAAATTTGTCTGGGCTAGTTCTGGCCCAAACAATGCTCTAACTCTCAGCCTAGATACCACAATAAATGGCAAACCTTTGTTGGCCTAGATGGGGTTTGCTAGAGGTGGTCCATGAATGAGCTGGCACCACATAAACCAAACCACCACAACCAGGCCAGATGTGGCATTGGTAAATTTGGGCCACATAAACCAATCCACAACTGGGCCAGTTGTGGCACTAACAAATTGGGCCCCATAAACCAAACTACTACTGGGCCAGTTGTGGCACTGGCAACTTTGGGACACATAATTCAAACCACAAACCAGGCCAGTGGTTGTATGCCATCTTAAAAACAGTGATATCATTGCCAGTCCTGGCCCACATCCAGCTGACAAACCACTTGCCATGCCAGTGGTTCCAGTTTGACACCACATCTGGCCCACACCTGTTTGCTGTGGGGCATGTCATCAAAAATGTCTTTATATTTTGTTTCTGAGGAGTCAAACAGGTCAAGTTCAGAAAGGTCATGTAAAACGTTGGTTCCATTTTAAACCAGAGGATCAAAAGATCCCACAAAGACCTCAGAGTGAGAGTTTCAATTAGTCTTCTTGAAAACAAATGGTAATATTTCTATAATGTAACTTTTGCACAGTACTATAGTTAAGTCATGAAATTCCGATGTGTTTTTCCTCACAGTTTTCCGGTGGCAATGCGTGCCCTGGTTGTTGCTCTGCTGTAGCCGGAGGTCCTCGGATCTTCTCTGAAAGGTCCTGAGTCTGGCGATTCCTCCTCTGCCTCTGGGCCCCACATACGGTTCTCTCTGCGGGTGGATAAGACAGAGGGAGGGATGGTGAGGATAAAAGTGGAGGACAGATGGAAGATCAGCTGAGAGAGAAAGAAAAGATGGGAGGAAGAGAAGCAACAGGGCTGCAGAACATATGTGAGGCGAGCGTGCACAACAGCTTCGCCACAGGCTCTAAGGCCCAGCTCATACCAGCAGAAACTAGTAAACACTGCTTCTCCTTACAATATTCACACAAAACATTCGTTAAAATGTCAGAAACAGACGATTAAGGATCTCTTTGAAAAGCCAAATGCTACATTAGTGCTTTGAGATTAAAAGGAAGGTTAGAGAGGAGAGATAAGATGAGGAAAAAGAGATGAAAGAGGGAGATGTCAGTAATGGCAGAATATGATGGCTCTGATTGCCAGATTGGTGCGTTTATCACGTCCTGTCAGTCCCAGATATGTTTGTCAGCGGCTCGTGATGTAGTATTACAGTGTGTGACAAGGTCACATTTCGACTGAACCGACAGCTGATGAAACACAGGGCACTTTGGGAGATTTACACATTCGATAGCCTTCCAGAGCCACCGTACAACAAAAAGCAAGTGCAGGTTTTAGTGCAGGCAGAGAAGAGCAACATCACTGTCAACATATTATCACCTTGTGCAGTTTCAGGGTTCAGACCACCAGGGGGCAACTTCTGAGAGCCACCATCCTCAGTGAGACACTGCAGCAGGAAAATCAGGTCAAACCCCAAAGAAAAAAAACAGGTCCCAGAGATGACAATACATTTTGTTCAGAGGAGTAGTATTAAACCCTGCAGCCAAATAAAGGTTTGTTGTTTAAATGTTGATTGAGTTTTCACACTGTTGTGGTCCTGTTTCTCTTTATCCTTTGTCTTTACTTCCAAACCATTGTAGAAACTGTTTATGTTTAGAAACTAAATTGTTTTTAAACCTATTAATGCAAATAGTATGCTACCCTAATTTATAAATGTCGAAATATTTATCTGATTTCAGATATTGCTTTCAGTTTTTGTAAACTAATATTTTCCTTTGTTTACAAACATGCACCAAACAAATAATACAAAATCTGTAATTTATTTTTTAAATTGTACTCTTTGAAATTTGCTTCAGCGTACTGTCTTTATTTTTGTCTTCTTATGCTACTTTTGCTTGCCTTTAGCTACATTTAGCATATTGATGCTCTAATGTTTGAGCTAGTGTTTAGCTACTTTTAGTCAAAATGTATGCCTATAAGCCTTTAGGTAACATTTTGCTACTTTTAGCTAGCATTTTGTTACTTTTAGACTTTAGTTTGTGTTTTGCCACTTTTATATTTTAGTTAGCATTTTTGCTACTTTTAGTTAACGTTTTATCACTAGAGGCTTTTACATATAGCATTTTGGTATTTTAAGTTACTTTTAGATTTTAGCTTATGTTTTGCAACTTTTATAAATTATCTAGAAATTTGTTACTTTTATATTTTATCTCACATTTTGTTAATTTTAGATTTTAACTAGCATTTTGCTACATTTAGATTGTAACTTGTATTTTGCTATTTTTATATTTTAGCTTTGTTTTGCTACTTTTAGGCTAGCACTTGGTTACTTTTAGCTTTAAGCTAGTATTTTCATTTGGTTAGTTTTGCCATTTAGCCAGTATTTTGCACCTTTACCTCGCATTTTCTCATTTTAGCTTTTAGCTAAAGTTACATTTCTTTGTGCCTTAACATTGATGAAGAATAAGATCTTGTGCTGCAGATTCATCTGTAAAACTGATTAACTTGTCACAAACTTTGGCCATTTATTATTTTTGTTGACATTTGACACAACAAAAAAAACTCTGAACTGGATCAGTAAAAAATAAACCACTCACTTGAGCTTCTTTCTGTTTTTTCTCTGTTTTTTGAGATGAGTTGGATTTCAGCCCTGTGCAAACAGACAGACATAATGTTTTTGTCTTAATCCAAAATCTCCTGTTGGCTCAATTAAAAACAAAAAAAAAACAGAAGTTAGAGGAAAAAAAGCTGAAGGTGAAAAGTTGGATCATCTAAACATTTTAAGGTTTCAGCTCAATGACACAATTTCAATAAAAAACTTCACAAAGACGTCTAAGCATTCATTGAACAAGTCTAATTATTTGTGTTTCTACACTTCTGTACATAGCTGTAAGTTAAATGTATTTCCACATTATCACTTATTAGACTGTTAATCAACCCGTTAGTGGCTGAAGATGATAAATAAGGTATTTGTGTTCCTGATGGCTAACAAAATATAGCAGAACTCTCTTTCGTCTGTCTTTTTTTTATGACAGTTTAAAAAAACAGATAATAAAGTGAAATCTCCACTAAACTCTTCAATCAATAACCCATCAACTTTCTGTGTGAAGATGTAACTACACTGGTGTAGACGGCACAGTCGCAAAGTTAAAGTCGTATGTTTAAGACTGACCTGAGTCTGCATTGATTTCACTCAGTCTTCGGTTCTGGATCCTCAGCTGAAGTACTGAAAGACAAAAAATAAGCAACAGGACAAAAAAAAGATAAAGTGAAAACAAAATAGAAAAAAAGGGGAATGACCAGTATGAGGTGAGAGGTAATCAATACCAGACAGGTCACTGTAAACTGATCCCACCCTGTAAACCATATCAACACGTGACTGTGTGTAAAAATATATACATATATATGTACTGTGTGTACATGTGTCCCTCTCGATGTCTGCAGACGTCCAAACAGCAGAAAACACACATTAGCATTCGGCACACACATACAAACAGGTGAAGCAGGACAGGGACGGGCCTGTGATCCGTTCTGGCATGTATGGAGACCCGAGAGACCTGACTGGGCCTGTGGGGTGGTGAGGGTGGGAGGGTGAGGGGGGA